TTATCAGTCCCGTCTGTTTCATCAACAAAGAGATTAGAACAAAGACCACAAGACACAAGAACGACACAGACAGACAGAGTCCATTTCGTCAACAGAGAAATTAGAATGAAGATCACAAGACACAAGAACGACACAGACAGACAGAGGGCCCAAAATAAACTACCGTGGCTTTCAGATGGTCTGGATCTCGGCCGTGTGGATTCCCGGCTCAATTATGCCAAAGACCGTAAGGATAGGACGTGTGTGTCCCAACAGGGTTGCGAGGTCCTCTGAGGTTTCAGATGGACTAGTGTCCTAGTGGGGTGTCCAGTGGGGAATACCCACCCTGACGAGGATGGGGACATCTCCCGAATCCTCCAGGTTGCCTTGCTAGCGTTCCAGCGACAAAAAAACTGAGATCAGATGGCCACGACCAAAGGGAAAGTATAGAAAAGACAGGCAGACAAACACAGTTTTACAAAAACTTACCCGGCTGGTTGATCACAAACCTTTTGGGGTTGGTTCCTCTCAGGGGTCTCTGGAGGGATCCCGGAAGAGCCCCCAAATGTTGTACCTCATCCACTGGACCCCAAAAAGACCACTGAGGACCCAACACACCAAAATGCAAAAGCAAAGTTTATGGTTTATTCAGGCTTAAGCTTGGGCTCTCAGACCTCACCAACTCAACGGATCCGCACTGAGAGCCCAGAGTAAGGGAGAATGGAGCCTTTTCTAGGTTTTAGACAAAGAGAGGAGGGGGATACCGAAGATACATTTTGGTTGGTTCAAGGAGCCCGCGCGCGCCAACATAATTTTAAACTGATTGGATGTATAAGATGCAGCCCTGGAAGTTTCTTATTGGTAGGTGCTATTCTCAGGGCTGTGGAATGTGCTGACTGTTACCTGTGGGGCCAGGAGTCTCCATTTTTACCTTAAAGGGCAGGCAGGCAGGGGTCAGGGCATGCCAGGGTATGTCTAGGCATGTCTAAAGCAGCAGCCAAGCATTTTACAGAATCTAAAAGAGCAATTAGTGGGGTCTGGAGGGATTGGGGGGTAGCGGGTGAATGAAGAGGGTCTCAGGGTCCTACAGTACCACTCCCTGTATGCAGGTCTTCTTGGCAGATGCCTCACAGCTCTGGCATCATGAATTTCTTGGGGGTCTCCACTGCCAACCAGGCTTCACCTTCACAGATTCATGCAATGACCTATCAGGGCCTTCTCTAGGCAGGGGAATCCCTGCTTCACACTGCTTGGCCTCTGAGGCTCTCTGAAACCTTGGAGGAGGAATTGATGACCCACCCCTTCACTCTTCCATCGTTCATGCCTCTACAGCCAGCACTGGATGAACGACACTGCCAAGTTTGACTGCAAGTTTGGGGTGGACCCCAGCCTGCTTTATCCATTTTAGAAGCTTTTCTCTTCCTTGGCCCCTGCAACATTTTCCTTTCACAAGTTGGAGGCTTAACTGGGTGTGGTCTTGCCCTGGAGGCACTCTCTCCATTGTTTAAGTTTGAATCTCTAGGCCCCTCCTTAATCACTTTAATCTCCTTATCAATGGGATCCTCTCCATCACATGCCAGGGCTCTTATCTTCCTAGTGTTCTTTTTCAATCCAAACTATTTCTTTCTGCCCCATTTGCTCTTTTTCACTGTAGATCTGCATAATATTCACCATTAATATCCACTCCACCATTTCTACATTAGGCTGTCTTGAAATTTATTCTGTCAGAGAAAATAGTCCATTGCTTTTCAACTTAGCCTTAGGCAAACTTTTTGGCTGTGGGAGACTCCAGCCAGACTGCCAAAATATCCCAATTGCTGCTTAAGTCCTTATTTCCCTCTGGACCTACATTGTTCTTAGCACTATTTTCTTCCAGGCCCCTACTAGAATGGCCTGTTAAGCTCTGCTTACAGCAGTCAACCACTTTTCTAGCCCAACCTTCCAAAGTCTTCCACATTTCTTCAAAACCACATATGGTCAGGTTCCTTACAATCAACAGCCCACTCTCTGGTACCAATTACTGTATTAGTCACTTTTCTGTTGCTGTGATAGAAACAGTTACCCAAGCAATTTATAGAAGGAAGAATTTATTTGAGTTTCCAGGGCACTTATAGTCCATCATGGCAGGGAGGCATGGTGGCTAGAGGTAGCTGGAGCAGGAGCAGCAGAAGCTAAGCTCTCATATCATCACACAGGCACAGGAAGCAAGAGAGGTAACTGGAGATCTGGCAAGGCTTCAGAACTCTCTCCTTTAATCCCAGCACTCAGAGGCAGAGGCAGGTGGATCTCTGTGAGTTCGAGGACAGCGTGGTCTACATAGTGAGTTCCAGGACAGCTGGGGCTACAGGGAGACCCTTTCTCAAAAAGACAAAAAAAAAAAAAAAACCAAAAAACAAACTCTCTAAGCCCACCCCCAGTGACGTGCTTCCTCCAAGATAGCCACACCTTCTAAAACCTCCCAAAACAGCACCATCATCTGGGGACAAAATGTCCGAAGACTTGGAATCTATGGGGGACATTTTCATTCAAACCACCACAACCCTACTATTTCAGGAACTCCTTTCAGAAAGGGAGCCTCAGAGCTTGATCCTGGATGGGTAAGATGACTCAGAGGATAAAGGTGTTTGCCACCAAGCCTGACAACTTGAGTTTGATACCCAGGACCCACACGGTACATGTACACCCATACACCCCTGGAATTTTAAAACAAAACAAAACAAAAAAAAAGCTGGGTGTGGTGACACACACCTTTAATCCCAGCACTTGGGAGGCAGAGGCAGGTGGATCTCTGTGAGTTTGAGGCCAGCCTGGTCTACATAGTGAGTTCCAGGCTAGATGGTGCTACAGGGAGACCCTGTCTCAAAAAGACCAAAAACTAACTAACTAACTAAATAAATAATAAATAAAAACTTCACCCTGTGCTATACAAGCAGAAGTGCATGCACTGGTGTTGGGGTTGTATATTATAGGAAGAACAACAGCTGTTAGGAGAGTACCATTCACATCACCAGCATATACAGACTCATGTGAGAATGTGGGGTTGGCACAGAGCGCTCTCTCTCTCTCTCTCTCTCTCTCTCTCTCTCTCTCTCTCTCTCCTGTGTGTGTGTGTGTGTGTTTTGCAGGTGGACCCCAAGGCCTCATACCTCATACATGTTAGGTAAGTGTTCTGCCACTGCCCTTCATTCCCAGCCAAGCTCTAGTCTAGATGAGCAGGGCCCACAGGCTGTGAAATCTCCCTGCATCAAACATATATGACCAGAGATGTATGGCTAGAAGGGGTCTCAGAATGTGACACACTGGGCTGCCTTCTGTCAGAGCTCCAGGAGAGGCCATGGCAGAGCTGTTCTGACTATGGTGAGCGCTTGGTGTTCGTTCATAGACAGGTGGTATAGCTAATCCTTGGTTTGCTAATTGGTACACATGAAGAAATAGCTTTCTGTGAACTTTCTAATTTTCCTGATGACTGATGATTTTAAGTCTCTGTTTATATATCTGTTAGTCTCCGGGATATACCTTTTCCTTTAAATTTTTTAGTTTTCATAATTACAAAACAGTGAAGGGCTGCATTCAAACCATTATTATACATTTGAGTCAATTCTATAATGAAGACATGGGAGTTCTCCACTGCCCCTTTCAAATCCCACTCCAAAGTTGTTCAGTAAATTCCTTACCAGCTTGTTTCCTATCTTTATATAAATACGTATATTAAAACACATGCAGGTACCGGAGAGATGGCTCAGCGGTTAAGAGCACTGACTGCTCTTGCAGGGGACCCGGGTTCAATTCCCAGCACCCACATGGTGGCTATGAACCATCCTTAACTCCAGTTCCAGGGCAATCTGAAGCCCTCTTCTGACCTCCGTAGCATTGGTGCACTCACATACATGCAGGCAATACACTCATACACATAAAATTAAAATAGTAAATAAAAGATTTTAAAAAAACACATGCATGTAATTTATTTAACAAAATAGAATCATACTATGTATATACATTACTGCAATTGAGTAGTGTGGATTACTGCAGCTACTTAACAAGTCCCCTACTTGTGGACAGCCAGGTTGTTTCCATCTATTCATTCATTCACTTTGTAAAATTGCAATGACAACTAGTAGGAGTCAGTCATCTCCTTCCATTATGTGGGTCCTAGGGAATGAACTCAGGTCATCAGGCTTTATGGCAAGTACCTTTACCCACTGAGCCATAACATCAGCTCCTATTATTTTTATAAGTCGGATTCCTAATCCAGGGAAAAAGCTTCTTTGAATTATTTCTTTAGGTTTAGGAGGGAGGGGGCAAGTCAAATGTGGTGACAGCACTCAGGAGAATTCTCAGATTTCAAGGCCAGCCTGGGCTGCATAGTGAGTTCTAGGCTAGTATGAGCTACTGAGTGAGACCTTGTCTTTACAAAAAAAAAAAAAAAAAAAAGCTGGGTGTGGTGGTACACCCATTTAATCCCAGCACTCTGGAGGCAGAGACGGGGATTTCTGTGAGTTCAAGGCCAGCCTGGTCTACATAGCAAGTTCTAGGCCAGCTGGGGCTATAGGGAGACCCTGTCTCAAAAAGAAAAAAAAAAAAAAAAAGCCAGGTGGGGGTGGTATACACACTTTCAATCCCATTCAATCCCAGCACTCCAAAGTCAGAGGCATGCGGATCTCTGTGAGATTGAGGCCAGCCTGGTCTATATAGCAAGTGCCAGTCCTGCTGTGTGTTACAGGAATATCCTTGTCACAAAAGACCAAGAAAAATGGTAGGAGTCAGTCTCTACCCCCCCCCCCCCCCCAGGGAACTTGGCTTAGCTCAGAGCAGCAAGTTTGGCAGGCTCCAGATTATCATTCTGGGAGGCCAAAGGTCTGGTACAGAGGGCCTCTGTGAGAAGGAAGAGGCAGCTGAGCACAGCAGCCTGCAGATCAAGTTTCAGACCCAAGACTTCTTGCATGGCCAGGCCAGCTGGGGAGAAGCTGATGACAGCTGGGTGGATGCATTCCCAGCCCCTCCTATTGCCTTGCTTTCCACAGATCTCTCTGGTAAGCCAGGAGCCCGTGCTTTTCGCCCGTTCCATCACAGACAATATCTCCTACGGCCTGCCCACTGTGCCCTTTGAGATGGTAGTAGAAGCTGCGCAGAAGGCTAATGCCCATGGCTTCATCATGGAGCTGCAGGATGGCTACAGCACAGGTAAAGAGCCCTGCATCGCCTTCACTGTGCCAAGGGCCACCCTTAAGGGTGTGACTCTGAGTGAGGAACTTCTGCTGTACCCCACCCCTCATCTGTTAATTTTCTTTCCATTTACATGGAATTCACATCCCAGAAGTTTGGCCATGTTAATAAATGCTCAGTGGCATCTAGCTCATTACAGTGCTACATGACTACCACCTCTATTAGCTCCATTGCTATAGTTCTAGGCTAACCAGGGCTACACAGTGAGACCCTGTCTCAAAACAAAACATACATACATATATATGTACATACACACACACACACATACATATATATATATATATGACCGGGTATGGTGCTGCTTGACTTTGACTTTAATACAGCACTTGGAAGGCAGAGGCCAGCCAGGGCTGCATAGTGAGACCTTGCCTCAAAAAAAAAAATACATATATGCACGTATTTACTATATTAGTTACTAGAACCACTTTAATTTTATATTAATAAATATGATTTAATCATTTAAACATGTTGATTTGCATTTTATATAGTACTTTTAATATATTTGTTAATTTTTATTTTTTTATTTTTTGTCTTTTTGAAACAGGGTCTTTCTGTAGCTCCAGCTGTCCTGGAATTCACTATGTAGACCAGGCTGGTCTTGAACTCACAGAGATCCGCCTGTCTCTGCCTCCCAAGGGCTGGGACTACAGGCGTGTGCCACCATGCCCAGCTCAATTATTATTATTATTATTTTTTTTTTGGTCTTTTTGAGACAGGGTCTCCCTGTAGCCCCAGCTGTCCTGGAACTCACTATGTAGACCAGGCTGGCCTTGAACTCACAGAGATCCGCCTGCCTCTGCCTCCCGAGTGCTGGGATTAAAGGCATGCGCCACCACGCCCGGCTCAATTTTTATTATTTTTAAAAAGATTTATTTTGTGTGTGTACATACACACATATGCCATAGCACACATGTGGAAGTCAGAGGATGACTTTCAGGAGTCCGTTCTCTCCTTCCACTGTGGGACCTGAAGATCAAACTTGGTTTGTGAAGCTTCTGCAGCAAGCATCTTTATCACTAAACCATGTTGTGAGCCCTTGCTTAGATTTTTGAGACAATCTTGCTATACATACAGACGGCATCCCAGTCTGGCCTGAATTTGCTATCACCCTTCCTCAGTTTCCCAGAGTGCACCACACCTGGCCTTTGGAGTTTATGTAAAAATAAATACTTTTTTTTTTTTTTTTTTTTTTTGCCAGGCATGGTGGTGCATGCCTCTAATCCCTTGGGGGACAGAGGGAGGTGGATCTCTGTGAATTTGAAGCCAGCCCAATCTATCATAGTGAGTTCCAGGCCAGCTAGGGCTACAAGGAGACCCTGTCTCAAAAAAGACCTAAATAAATAAATAAATAAATACATTTTCTTCTCTTTGCCCTTTTTTCAGGAAGAATAACTCAACCCTTTATAGTCTTCACCTGACTTTTTAAATTTTATTTATTTATTTATTTTATTTATTTTATGTGTATATGTGTATTGCCTGCATGTAGGTAAGTGCACCCGTGTCGTGCAATGCCCATGGAGGTCAGAAGAGGCTGTCGGATCCCCTGGGACTGGAGTTAGGGACAGTTGTTAGCTGCCAAGTGGGTGCTGGGATTCAAACCCAAGTCTTCTGCAAGAACAACCAGTGTTCTTAAGCACTGAGCCATCTCTCCAGCCCCTTCACCTGACTTTTGTACTTAGCACATCTTAGTGACCTTTCATATTGCTATGTGGGGTGCAGACCCCCACCTTCTCCCTTTTTTTTTCTTGGTGTCCCTTCCTTTTTTTTATCTGCATAGTATTCCAGTGTTTGTGATTTTATAATAATTTACTTAATAACTTACTGACTTGGCTTCCTATTAATGGACATTTGAGGGCTTTTTTTTTTTTTGGTGTTTTTGCAACAGGGTCTCCCTGTAGCCCCAGCTGTCCTAGAACTCACTATGTAGACCAGGCTGGCCTTGAACTCACAAAGATCCGCCTGCCTCTGCCTCCCAAGTGCTGGGATTAAAGGCGTGTGCCACCACGCGCAGCTGGACACTTGAGTTTTTTAATCAATATTTACTTATTGTGTAAGATAGTGCTGTCACTCACACCCAACACCTGCCACTGTCATACATGGGAAATAGCCTACCTATAGGAACATCCCTGAGACAGGAGTGCTGGCCCAGGATTGTACATTTATGTTGGTGACACACAGTCTTTGTGCAACATACTCACAGGGCAAAGCATCAGAGTTTCCAAGTTCCCTTGCTCCTGGCAGGTGGGAGACTCTTCCTTCCAACATTCTAACACTGCATTGTCATACATTTGAGTGTCTGCCTGCTGCATGTGTGGGGCAATTGGTGATGCAGTGTCCCTTTTCATGAGAGGTTAATCTTTGTATCTCATGAACAGGTGAAACACCGTGTTTTGAGGTGCCGTCTGTTAGTGGTTCCATCAGGGAATCCTTGGAAACCTTTGGAAAGCTAGTGCCTGGGTCACAGGGAGAGGTTGCCCGGCCTCCCTCTTACTAACTTTCCCTATGCCTCCTCCATGCAGAGACGGGAGAGAAGGGCGCCCAGCTATCGGGTGGCCAGAAGCAGCGGGTGGCCATGGCGCGTGCCTTGGTGCGGAACCCTCCTGTGCTCATCCTGGATGAAGCCACCAGTGCTCTGGATGCAGAGAGCGAGTATCTGGTAAGGGGTCGGGAGCTCCTGGAGAGAGTAGTGCCAGGTGGCCAGGCTTCCCCTCTACTGGGTCTGGATGGACTTAGAGGTACCACAGGGTTCTCCCAGGCTATCAGCTCCCTGGAATGCAGGCTGGGAGGCCCCAGGGCCAGCCCAGACCTCCAACCCTAAGCAGAACTAAAGCCCAGTGATATGGGACAACAGGGTGTCAGGCCAGAGGGTCTGATCAGAAGCTACCCTGCAACTTAGTTTTGCACCCCCTTCCCCTCCTTTCCCCCTCCTTCCCCGTCTCCCTCTCCCTCTTTCCATCCCTCCTTCCTTCTCTTTCCTCTGTCTTTTTCTTCCTTTCTTTTAGTTTTTGTTTTGTAGTGCTAGGTTCATATACATGGACTTGTATAAATAAATGGTCCATCCCTAAGCTGCGACCCCTCAGCCCCACCCTGCAGCTTATCATATGATCATGGGCTGGTCTCTTCCACTCTGAGCTTCATTTTCAGTGCCAAAGAGGATAGTAGTGGTGGGCCACCCATCACTCTGTGGGGTGATCCCACACAGACAGTAACCGATCTGGTCCCAGGCACCAGGCTGTACTCTGGACACCTGGCTTTCAGAGATAGGCTGACCAAACAAGACTGTTGTCCCCATGGCATTTCAACCATTGGAAAGACATAAACAAGGAAACAAGCCTGGGCCTCCTTGTGCCTGTGCCACAAAGAAAGTGAACAGTTGTTCATTGTATGCAGAGACCGGGAGGGGCAGCCACTGTGGAGTACACACACAGCGGGGCATGGTGAAGGCTTTGAAGGGAGAGCAGTCAGGGAGTACTGAGCTCCCTTCCTGGGTGCAGAGATGGCAGCTCTTAAAAGGAGAGCAGTGGAGCAGGGAGGGGACAGAGCAGGGGCTCTGGGGCAGGGTGTTAGAGGCTGTGAGAACAGTGTCTAGTGGGGGTAATGGAAGTTACGATTCTGTCCTCCTGAAGAGGGTGGGGTCACCCACCTATGGGTGAGTTCCGGGGAATAGCTTTCAGGCTCTTGAGAGACATTCATCCTTGTAGGAGCAACAGGTGCATCTCAGGTGCATGCTCTAAGCCCTTTTTTGTAACCACACTAGGGAAGGGCAGCCTGGGCCCATGGGACATGTTGACTCAAATATGAAACACACACACATGCACAACTGCACTGAGTTTTCTCTGGCAGGCCTGTAAGGAGGGTATGAGGAGCAACTCCACAGCAGTATAGTGTTAGTGTGGGATTTGCAGGGAGTTTCATAGGCTTTGTAGCTCTTGCTATGAGAAACGAAGTTGTCAGGTACCACTCTGCTGAGACAAAAGAAAAGGAGCTGTGGGGAGTTGTGAGGCTAAGAACATGCAAGGAACAAGGGTTCAGAGGCCAGGAACAGGGAGTGAACTTGGCTAGTTCAAAGCCAAGGTCAATGTGGCTGGTGGATGGAGGCTGAACAGAGAGAAGCCAGGAGGTAGTGACAGGGACACAGCTGCCTCAGGGCCTCATGAGCATTTGGGACTTTTTGTGAAAAATCAGTTTGGCTTATTTTTTCCAAAGTTTTAGGGTCTAAAGAAAATAGATCAGAAAGCCCAGAGTTCCCATGTAGCCCTTTACTCCTACACCACTACCTTACCATGAACACCCAACATGCAGTGTATCTGTTAGAATCCATGAACCATCACGAATAGCTTATTACTAACTAAAATCTGAGGCTGACCTGCTCATTCTTGGTGCATAATTCTGTGGATTCTGACAGATGCAGGACTTTGGGTACCCATCACCACAATGTCATATAGATGGTCCACTGTGGAGCAAATCCCCTAGAAATATGAACTGAATCCTAAAGTAGGATGGAAAGTGAGAACTGACTAAAGTATTAAGGGGCTGGGCATGGTGGAGCACACCTAGCATCCCAGCCCCCAGGCCCTCCCACCACCTGCAGCACGTGCAAAAGGATCATCCTAAACTAAGTAGTGCATCAAAGCCTTCACTATTCCCAGCTGTGTTTGGTTACCCTCCCAGCCTCTGGATTTGGGATACATGAGACCCTGTCTCAAAAACAAAACAAGGGTCATCAAGATGGCTCAGCAGGTAAAGGTGTTTGCTGCCAAGCCTGATGACTTGAGTTCAATCCTTGGATACACGGTGGAAGGAGAGAACTGACTCATACTAGTTGTTCTCTGACTTCCTGTGTGCACCATGACACACTTGTGCCTCCTCAGACAAAATAAGTGCCGCCAGGCATAATGGTACCAAACCATTTGAGAAGCAAAGGCAGGTGGACCTCCATGAGTTCTTAACCTGGTCTACATAGAGAGTTCTAGGCCAACTGGGGCTTCAGGCAGAACCTATCTGTCTGTCTGTCTGTCTGTCTGTCTGTCTATCTATCTCATCTGTCTGTCTGTCTATCTATCTCATCTGTCTGTCTGTCTATCTCATCTTCTCTATCATCTATTTATCTAATATTTTAGAGGGAATAAGTAGGGCCAGGCAGAAAAGCCAGAGACTTGTAGGTGAGGAGGGGAGAGATGAACAAGAGGCAGGTTTGCCTAGGAACTGGATTTGGGTGACAAAGGGGAGGTGAGACTTTGAGGGGTGCCTGCTTGTCTTGGCCTGGGTGGGAAGATCTCCAGTTCACCAGATGCCTCCTTAAACTAGAGCCTGAGCTCTGTCTGAAACTCAAACCTGCGAATTGGGTTCTGCCAGCCTCTATTTTAAAATAGACTGAGCACAAGTGAAGGCTGCAGGCCGGGCAGAAGGGGTGCTGAGGTGCTGGCCTAGCTCCTGAGCCTGCTGTCCCCACAGATCCAGCAGGCCATCCACGGCAACCTGCAGAGACACACAGTGCTCATCATTGCCCACCGGCTGAGCACCGTGGAGCGGGCACACCTCATCGTGGTGCTGGACAAGGGCCGTGTGGTGCAGCAAGGCACACACCAGCAGTTGCTGGCACAGGGAGGCCTCTATGCCAAGCTGGTACAGCGCCAGATGCTGGGGCTTGAGCCCCCCTCAGACTACACAGCCAGCCACAAGGAGCCACCAGGCAATGGTGAACATAAGGCCTAACACCCAGGCCTGCCTCTCTGGTGCAGCAGAGAACCCATGCCTGCCTGACCCATGTGCCCAGGGGCCTGGCAGCCCCAGCTGCCTTCCTGTGGCACTGGAGGGCAACCTGTGAAGTCCTGCTTCACGCTTCCTGCATCTTGCCTCCTTCACCTGCTGCCCCAGGCACTTGTTGCCCCTGCTGCCATGGGCTGCCCCTCTGCTGTCTCCCCTCCTGGTGTCTCCAGCCCCTGCCAAGGTACAGCAGCCTTTTTAAACCAAGATCTTAACAGATTTTTTACTGCTCGGTTTGATGCACTCCAGTCAACTAGATTTCAAGAACATTTTTCTAGTTGGGACGAATGGTGGGCAAGCTCACCAAGATGCTCTTAAAACTTCTGAGCCAGGAGTGCATGACCCTTCCAACAGCCTGGAGGCTATCAGGAGAGAACCAAGCACTACCCTTTGCCCCTCCAGAGAAGGGCTTCCCTGTCCCCTAGGGGGACATAGGGGTTAGCCTTTCTGCCCCTCCCATCTCCCTGCTCTGTGAGTCAGGCCAAGTGTAGGCAGGAGAGTGGGAAGTGGCTTTCTGCCCATCATCCCCTCTGCTAATCAAAGCCAGTCTCACTGTGAACCACTACGAACCTCAGCGGGAGTGAGGGGCTGGCCAGGCCTGGTGGGCCTAGGGGTGCCCCCAGCCCCACACCCAGCACTTGAGCCCCTCATCCCTCCCCCTGACTGGCACCTTCTACCCATGCTGCTCTGTGGTTCGGAGGCTCTGTGGTTGGTTGGTTGGTTATGAGATGTGTTCTCTTTTCTAGGAGTGAGACCGAGGCAATGCCCAGGGTCTGGCTTTGTCCTGGTTTTGAGACATTGGGAGAACTGGGTAAATAAAGTGTACTACCTCTGACCTCTGCTCTGGTTAGGTTTTTCTCCAGTTCTGCCTCTCCTCCAGGCTCTGCCTGGTGCAGAGGGCTACAGAGGGTTTGTGTGGATGCCTCAGAGCGCCATCTGTTCCCTTCAAGTCCCAGGAATCTTTGGCACAGACATTTGTGTTGACTGTCTCCATGGGTCCTGGGCAGGGTGGTAAAAATGATCATCTACAAATCCCAGGGACCTCAGCTCTCTGAAACCCAAGATACCACCTGCTCCTGTCTGTCAGGGTGAGCCACCCCCTCCCCCCACAAACCCAGCCCAGGGGCAGAGAATACCACTCCACAACACAGCACTGTGGGAAGAGAGACCTGGAGCACAGGAAGGACCTGCAAGGATATTCCCTGTGGTTTCTGAAACGGTGTGGTTATGGTGCCCAAGCTGGCCTTGAACTCACAATCCTCTTATCTCTGGGGTCACAGGCATGTATCATCATGCAGCCTCAGTTTTTCGGTTATTTGGTGTGAGGTAGAGAGCATTTTATTCTGTGTACTGCCAGTCCAGCCACACTGTATGTACTGGCTCAGTTCAGCCAGTCTAGTCATACTGTGCACCAGCTCAATTCATCTGGTGTAGTCACACTGTATGAGCAAGCTTAGTTCACCACATCTGCATTCCCCAGGTGAACTCCTGCTGGCCCTCGGGATTTGGACCTACCTTGAGCACCTTATTCATCTTTACCTCCCTGAAGGAGCCTTAGAGTTACAGGAATAAGCTCAGGGCCGGGGGTCCTACTGCAGTCTGAGTGGCAGCAGGTGCTTTTCGTCCAGTTCCGTTTAATCCTTTCTCATAGCTACCCTCATTTTAATGTTCATGAATCCAGATCTCAGAGAGGTTGCTTTACCCTGTGCTACCCAGCTAAGATCCCACAGGCTGAACTTTAAAAATAGGGAACTAGGGGCTGGAGAGATGGCTCAGTGGTTAAAAACACTGGTTCTTGCAGAATACCCGGGTTCGAATCCCAGCACCCACATGGCAGCTAACAACTGTTCATAACTCCACTCCCAGGGGATCTGACAGCCTCTTCTGACCTCCGCAGGCACTGCATGACACGGGTGCATTTATCTTCATGCAGGAAATACACACATACACATAAAATAAAAATAATAAATAAAAATAGGGAACTAAAAAGTTGTATCCAACTGGATGTGTTGACTCACACCTTTAGTCCTAGTACTTGGGAGGGAGAGGCAGCCAGATCTCTGTGAGATGGAGGTCAGCCTAGTCTTCATAGCAAGTTCCAGTCCAGCTGGGGCTACAGGGAGACCTTGTCATAAAAAAATAAAAATAATAACTTCTCAGCTGGGCGTGGTGGCGCATGCCTTTAATCCCAGCACTTGGGAGGCAGAGGCAGGCAGATCTCTGTGAGTTCAAGGTCAGCCTGGACTACATAGCGAGTTCCAGGTCAGCTGGGGCTACAGGGAGACCCTGTCTCAAAAAGACAACAACAACAATAATAATAATAATAATAATAATAATAGTAACTTCTCCCCCTGACTCCTTGGCAGTCCGTTAATGGGAGATCTCTGTCACCCTTCCTTCGCTTCCTCCGTTTCTGCCAATCTCCTTAAGGACCAAATATGCATGAGTGCATCTCCGTTCATGTTGGCCAGGCTGGTGTTCAGATCGGCAATGCCTGCTGGGCGCTCTACTGCCTGGAACATGGCATCCAGCCTGATGGCCAGATGCCAAGTGACAAGACCATTGAGGGAGGAGATGACTCCTTCAACACCTTCTTCAGTGAGACAGGTGCTGGCAAGCATGTGCCCAGGGCAGTGTTTGTAGACCTGGAACCCACGGTCATTGATGAAGTTTGCACTGGTACCTACTGCCAGCTCTTCCATGCTGAGCAGCTCATCACAGGCAAGGAAGATGCTGCCAATAACTATGCCCGTGGGCACTACACCAT